GTAGCTGCCCGTTTACGGTCCGCCGTCGCAGATGCTCGACATGGTGTTGTCTTTTCCTTCATTGCGTCTCACCTCCTCTTTTCCTACATTCCTAGAAGTGTTTTTCTATGAAACGTGGAGTTTTCCAAGTGAATGGAAGCAATGCTGCGCGCATTCTGTGATGTGCGCGGCCGTGATCCTGTTTTTCTGATAATCATGATTAAACTGCTAGGGGTGCAGGGAGCGGCGTCAGGTCAGTCGGCCTCCAGCTCACGAGGCGAACCGCGGCCCTGCAGCCTGCGCCCCAGGCCACCCGGCCTCCGAGGCGCCGTGCCACCCCTCCCTGCTCTGCCTCGGCTTCCACATTTGTGAAGGAGCGAGATGGGCCCCGCCTCGTAGGGCAGTGAGAGAGCACATGGCAGGCATCTCCTATCAGTCATCCCGTTTCTCAGAGGAAGTGTTTCCTCTGGGGACTGCCGCTTGGTTTTATTATTGAGAGAGCTGGAGAAAGGACAGGCTTTGGGGACCGGAAGGAGAAGCTGCATTTTCCCCTCTTCAGTCCCTCTGAGCTTATTTTTAGCATTTTCTTATATCAGCAATGCTCTCTCTGTTTCATTAGCTTAAAGCAGATGAACAAACTCTTGCTAAGAAGGAACCCCCCAGACATGAGATCGGGGCCCTCAAGGCGGGCACAGGGGGCAGTCTCTGCAGGGGCCTGTGAACGCATGTCTCAGGCGCTGCCTCCTGTTTCCACCTGGGAATCGGGAGGGCTCGTAATGGCAAAAACAGCTACTACTTTTGCACCAACCTAATAATACATTTTAACTTGGTAAACGAGTGATGCCTTGCAATATGAGTAGTTTGTTTCCGGAACGAATTATGCTCACAAACCGAGGTATTTCTGTAAAAAAAAAAAAGCTGCTGTAAAGTGAACTGTACGGTGGAGCGACAGGTGGGAGCTGCGGTTTTCCTGCCAATACCCCTACTGTCCGACCAGCTCACCGCCAAGCCTGGTCCCCTTCGTCTCCTGTGTCAGACACTAGCCGTACAAACAGTCATCTGATCACAGTCATCATGTGAGCTTACAGGTGGCAGCTGGTACGCTCAGGGCGCGTCAAATGGTGTGTTCCTTCTGAGAGTATCAGCGAGCGATGTTTTTATTTATCGCCCAACACTCAGAACATACCACCCATGACCAAAGGAGTTTATAGCAACTCCTCTTGCCAGTTACTAGCTCTCAAGAACTTTTAAAAAAATACATATGTGAGTCAGTTAATGTGGTGCCCCTTTGAATAACACAAGGGGATCAACTTTTTTAAAAAAAACACATTTCAATGTGAAATATAACACATATACAAAATGCACATAAATGTGAAACTTATGATATTGTATGTCAACTATACTTCAATTTTTTAAAAAAGCATATAAAACATTTTTAAGTTTAACGAATAGGTACGCAGTAAACTCCCACATTATCTCAAGAGACTAGATAATAGTAAAATATAGTGAAGTAGTTAGGAAGTGAAGACTTGTGAATATTTATTACCCTTCTTCTTAATGATATTGATTCAGTTATAAGTTTAGGGATATCATGTTGATAGCCTGAAACCAACTATAGTAAGAGTATTCACACCATGAAGATCAATAAATGCTACAAACCAGAGATGAATTCGTGATAAAGCTGAAAGAGGTTTCAGTTTTACGAATATATTTTGTATCAGGGCAAGAGAGTGTTTTAGCAATATATTCCATATCTGACTTAATGACAATACATTTCTTGGGAGAAGAGCAGATTGGGATGCAGTTCCATTTGTCAAATCATGACTGAACTGCAAGCACAGTCGGCTACGGATCCGAGCCCCGCTGAAGTCAGTGCAGGTATGTTGTGAGCATCAGCTGGCCACACAGAATTGTGGAGTACTGTGGTACTATGGAGTACCATTAGAAGTACTGTGTATTCTAGAAGCTGTAAGTTGTGTGCTACACACTCTTTATACCAATAAAATTTATCAATTTATATATTACAGACATAATAAAATTTCTACATATTCAATATACATCCAACCCCCTCTCAGCCCCCAAGAGCCAATAGTTAAACATTTATCAGAACACTCAGTATCCTGTCAGGTTTTACTAACAAAGTTCTGCTGGCTTCACAAAATGAGTGATTACTTCCTGTTCATCCCCTCTCTGTAAGAGTTCGGGTCTGTCTGGAATGACCTGTTGCTAAAACGTTCGGGAGAACACACTGGTGAAACCATCGGGACCTAGGGTTTTCTGTGGAGTTAGATTTCTGACTCATTAAATGTCTTTCATAGTTATTGGATTTGGGTTTTTTTTTCCTTGAATAAATTTTTCTAAGGGCAAGTGTCCATTTCATCTTTTTTTCTTTAGTTTTTTGTAGATTCATTGTGATGTGTCTAGGAGTGGGTTCATTTTTATTCATCTGCGTGGAATTATCTGAGCCTGTTGAATCTGTGGATTTGTGTCTTAAAGCAGTTCTTAAAAATGTTTAGCCACTGTCACTTCAAACATTTCGTCTCCACTCCTTTAAGGACCTCAGTTAAACATATAGTCAGACTATCTCAGTGTATCTGATTTTATCACTTGCCCTTTTTTTCTTTTTTTACTTTATTATTTTAATCCTTTATCATCTTTTTAGCTCTCTGTGCTGCATTCTGGGTATTGGTTTTCTGATCTGTCTTCTAACTCCTAAATTCTGTCCTCTGACACCAGCCTCTGCTGACAGATATGTATACCGAGTGGTTAATATTTGCTACTGAGGTTCTAGAACTGTGTTGTCCAATAGAACTTCCAAAATTGATGAAAATATTCATGTGTGTGCTGTCTGATAAGATAGCCAGTAGCCACATGTAGCCAGTGTGACTGACAAACTGAATATTTTAATTAACTTACATTTAAATACCTACATGTGGCTAATTGATTATGTTATTGGACAGTGAAGTTCTAGAAGTTCTGGCTTGGTTCTTGTTTCATATCTTTTCATTTTTCAGTTTCCTATTCCCTGCAAACATTTTTTAAGGTTGTCATTTATTTATCTAAATATGGTATCGTTAAAGTTGTTTTAAATCTGTGTTTACAGTTCCAACACCTGATAGGTTGTGATTTTTTCCTCTGGCTCTCACTCGTGTCGCCATGTTCCCTGATAGGCTTGGTCGTCTTTAATGGTGTACTCCTGGTTAACGCTTTGGGGAAATTCTCCCTGCGGCTCCCTGAGGCTTAGTATGAACTTGCCCTCCGAGCATCAGAGGGCAAGTGTGCTTCTGCTCAGCGCCCAGAGGCACTGGCAGTCGAAGACCAGCTCAAACCAAGGTCATGGGCCAGTAGGCTACGCGTCCCTGGGTGCAGGGCTGTCAGGGGCAGTCTTCAGGGCCGTGCTCACACTTGTTTTCCTTTCCTTGGAGTCACCTGTGTGAGCGCCGGGGGACTGATTTTATTCCGATTCATCCTTCTTCTCAGGGCTGGCTCCTTGAGCTCCAGCTTAATACAGGCAGGACGGCCCATAAACTCCCCATCTTGGAGAGTCCTGACTTCCATTCCCTGACCCACTGGCGTTCCTGAACCAAAGCCCAAGCACCCAACATTGGCAAATGTCCCTGGACCAGAGAGCTTTCTGTCTGTTCCTTACCTCTCTCGGCACAGACTTTCAATCAAAATTGGCCTGGAAGCTTCCCACGGTCTTTTCAGTTCTTTGATATTTTTTTAAGGTCAATTTTAATATATTTTATTTAGCATGTTTTTGTTGTTTTCAGGGGAGACCTAGCCTCACAGTCCCAGAAATAAGGAGTCCTCTGGACCTATTTTCATAGCAAGGCCAAGCCCCACTGCCCACACTCCTGACCACTAATCAAGAACTGCTATTACTTTTGCACCAACCTAATAGAAATGTTTGCTCATCTTGCGGAACACCTGCAAACCAAGTTACTCGCAATCCAAGGTTTTACTCTATTTATTTTCTGTAAGAGATTATAAATTCCTTAAAATGTATTTAAAAACTCTAAATAGACTCACTTAAACAGCATTTGTGTTTATTTAATTATAGAATCTTTCATCCCACTAGTATTTATTGAGCCCCTAAAGTAAACTGGCACTGTGGTTGGCATATCCACCATTGAGCCGACACAGACTATGCCCTCAACCAGGTTACAGTAAAATTAGGCGCATCCAGGGGGTGGGGAGTGGTTAATGTTATGTAGAGAGTTCCCAAAAATAAGGGTTTCACCCTTAGAATGCAACACAATTTTCAAATCACGTTACAGAGGAAAAATAATTTGATACAATGTAATGGTATAGAAAAGTAAGTAATAATATAGATTCATAAGTTCTGAAACACGCTGACCATCTCCTTGGGACTCGACTTCTCCATCGTCACTGAAAATAAGTGGGCTGGGCAGGCAGCTCCCAAGTCGTGACGTCACACTCTGGCTAGCTTTGCAAAAGAGGGATGTACCTTCTGTGGTGTTGACATGCCTTTAAATCACTTTTACACACACACACGCACACTTCTCTAAAATGTTTAGTCCTTTTTTTCAAAGACTGAACTTATATGGTGTTTCTTGATTATTATTTTATGCAGTAGCTCATGCTGTTGAAAGGTTCATATAACGGTCTTTATAATTTATCACAAGAGCCAATCTGTTTTCCTGCACACCAAAATGCAAGCCATAATTGAAGAGCTCATTAATATAGCTCATTGTGTAATTACTTCTCCACTATTGTTGTCTTTAAATGAATGTGCCGCTGTTGAATTAGGGCCAGAAGAAATTAGGCAGCTGCTGCTTCCCTGACATTCTGTGTCTGTCAGGACAACAGTTTGTTTGGAGGCTGCCCTCCCACATTCCACGTGGTGTGAAAGACTGGCTTTTGTTTGGGTCCGGTGACACCAAGTTTGTATGCACTATGATGGGAAAAAAAAAAAAAGAGTATCCGAGGAGCCTGAGGTAAGAATGCGCTGAATGTCTGGGACTGAACTATTTTTTTTTTAATGTGTTTATTATTAGAAAAAGTTGTTAATGTGCTAGCCGCCTGTCTGGAAAGCGGGAATCAAGATGCTCAGAGGATTGGCGCCTCCGCGCTTTGGGCGCTCGTTCACAATTATCAAAAGGTGAGTTTGTAGATCTTTGTCCCACCTGGGGGATGCATCCAGGGACCTCAGAGGAGTGTCAGCAAGAGAACAATGAAGTCAGAGACCGGAGTCGCCCTGCGCATTCGTACAATGCGTACCCCTGCCTGCCGTTGAAATCTTCCTCATGAATCATTTCCACAGAGTGTCTCATTTCAGTAGTGCCTCTCTTTTGAATGAATTTTCCCTGTTAATATAAATTGATTTGCCATATTGGTGTAATGTATTTAGTAGATTATTTCTACTAAAAGATGTGTCAAGGAAAAATGCATCCTGAAAGAAAACCAAGTAACAGTCTTATCCAATTGTGTGATTCCCCTTTCTCTGGTAGGTGTCATCACTGAGTTTTGAAATAAGCTCAGCGCTTAGGCTGCAGCACCCCCACCCCCACCCCCACCTGGGGCTCCTGAGGCAGGTGGGAGCTCTGCGCCTGCGTCCTCCTGGCCTCTTCGCTGGCATTGCAGACGTCTCACTCCTGAGAGAAATGCCCCCGTGTATCTGGTGACTAAATAGTGGCCAAGTGACAGTGTTGGGACAGTCAGCCATCCCTGCTGGTGCCCTCTCAGTGAGCTGTCCCTTGTCTGTGCAGCTGTCCCTGCTGGATGGCATCAGTGCACACGGGGACAGAGGCTGCTGCTGTCACTTACCCGTGGGTCCTCAGGGCTTAGCACACGGTTTGGCACTTTGTAGTCACTTAGTAAATATTTGTTGACCAACTGGTAATGTTTGATATACTTGATCTGAAATCGGAGGTTTGAAGGACTATGAAATAAGATAAAGTAGTTTAAAATAGTAAACTGAGATTAGGGGAGAAAGGGTAGGAGGAAAGGGGAGAAAGAGCGTGGGACGGTAGTGAGAGAAGCACCTTAGGGAAGATGCGGGCGCTCCTGACCCCTGACACATAGAAACAGACCTAATTAATGGATTGTTCTGTGTCATCTCCAGGCAAAAACGACTTTGAAAAACCCATCAATAAAAAGGAGAGTGGATGAAGCATATTCCTTAGCAAAGAAAAGTAAGTGTCGCTATGAAAGGGCATTGCAGGTAAACTCAGGAGCTGTTCAGTGCCTTCCCGGATTAATGAGATGCCTGCTGGACGGTTGGCAGCAAATGACAGTTTTCTGCATTGATGGTTTACACTGATGTGTGGAGAGCTTTTTTGTCGAAGCGTTGTACTGTGTGCCGGTATTTTCTCTCTGCTTTTCATTATAACAGTTTTAAAATAATAAAATATAATAGTTTCTCAAAACACATCTGTGATCTTTCTCCAAGTCGCTTTTTCTGGTATGTAACTTCCTTTGCCCTTGGCCAGCACTCCGCTAAGGTGCGTTCTCAGGGGATAGGAGCCTGGCCCCAATAGTGCTGACCTGAACAGAAGACCTGGATATAACGGGGAGCTGAGTCATGGTCTTCCAAAACTAGATCCCATTCCCCCAGATCCACTCGGCCCGGTGATGTGATCACAATATGAGGCAGGGTTTTCCTCGTGAAGTGCATTTTCCATTTTAAGTGACACACGTTTTCAGTGAGCATGATTCTCTGCACATTTTTTTAGGCTGAGACGCTGAGCTGTGTCTTTCCTGTACGGTGCTGGATCTGTGGTCTATAGCCTGATTTTTTATAAGTGTCTTGTGGGCCTTTTTGTTTCGTTTCTAGCTGTGGTGATGAACTTCTGGAGGTAGCGAATAACTGAGTTACGTTGTTAGCATTGATGTGTTAGGAGGAATGGTGCATAAAAGAAGCAGGCATTCGTTCGGGATTGTAGATAATGGGATCCATTATGGAGATGGATTGTTTTCTGTTTATACTCTTTGGCTACACCATTAATAAAAAATAAATACAAATTCTGTAACTTCTTAATTTTTTTTACAGTGTACTATATTCTTATAATGCTAGTCCATCAAGAAGTTAAATAGAAGCTAAAGTTACATATAAATCCTGTTGATGTATGTTGGTGTATGTGTGTCCACACTTACGCATAGTACTGAGTTAATAAACTTGCTCTTCCGCATGCTTATTTTTCTCTCTCAGCCTTTTCAAACTCAGAAGAAAACCCTCTGAATGCCTATTATTTGAAATGCCTTGAAAACCTCGCACAGCAGCTGAACTCTTCCTGAGGACCGGGGCTGCCCCACGGACAGGTGAGCTGTCTTGAAGCGAGCGATGTGCTCAGCTGCTGCCTGAAGACAGAGCCTCTGCAAGGCGGCAAGGCGTCTCCTTCCAGACGAGAAGCCCTGGTGATGCCTAGCTCCGCCCCTTCGTTTCACACCAGCTCCCTCTAAGCCAGAGCAGCTGGCAAGAAGATGATGCAAAAATGCATAGAAAGTTCTGGGAGCATAAACATTTTTACCTTTTTCTATGCACCTTGCTTTGTAAAAATCCTATTTAACAGTTATTTAATAAAATATTTTTAGAAACTGAAAATTGACTAATAGTTGCAGACTTTTATCAGTCTCATGAATATAAACTTTAGGAATTAAAACCAGGCATTATGTTCTGATATCTCTCTTTTGAAAACAATGTTTACATGAAATTTGGCTCATGCCAATACAAATGCTTAGTTTTCACACCTTTACCCTGTCCCCGACGTGAAGCACATGGTGGTGACGGGATATGCGTGTAATTCTGTGGGTCACTTCTTTCTGCAGTTTTCAGTGATATTAACTCCTTTCCATTCAGTCTGTTCTATTTTATTCTTTTTACCTTTCAACTTCTGAAATGCTGTGTAATCAAGAAGGAAGAAATAGAGCTTATGGGTCAGGATTCAAATTCTAGCTCAGCTCAAAACGTCATGAAGAATGAGACTGAAAACTGCGCAGCCGCAGCTCTGCCGAGTGCTCCACGGGGTCCCTCTGCACCAGCATGTTGTGTAGGACTCAGACCTTAAATCGGAATCAAGTCCAGTAGTAATCGCTGTCAGCACTTTCCCCAATACTTCGGAAAGTAAGAAGAGAAAGTTGTGTCTAAAAAATGAAAAATGAAACCTGATACACGTGTGTGTGTGTATGTCCACACACAGATCTACACATTCATTTAGGAAGTTTTCTTATCAAATTATGGTTAACAAGAAAAAAAACAATATTTTTTATTAAGTGCTGTTAGCAAATTGCTGTCATCAGTAAGATAAGCCAGGTGATGTTATTTAAGTGGGGAGCATGAGGACAAAATAGATGGTAAATTGAAGCAGATAAATTTGTAGTGTCTGAAAATTATTGATTAGAGATCTGAAAAATAGATTTAGCAGGTTCAGAGGTCTGGGAAGCCCAAGTTAATTTGAAGCAGTGGATGCGCCTATAGTCTAAAAAATTCACCAATTCTAAGAGCAGGAATTTTAGGAATTATTTCTACCTTTGCTCCTGGTTTCTTATATTTTATGTCATTTTCTTGGTATTACCTTGTAAGCCCTCACTGATGAATAATGCAATGGATTTCTTTGTAACTTCCATTTAAAGAGCTCGTTTTATGTGACCGGCGCTAGTCTGAGAACATTTATTATTTAATCTATTTTCCTCTAAAATAGTACTGTTATCCCTATGTTAGAGGTGAATAAATGGAGGCTCAGAGTGGCTAGGTAATTTGTTTGTGGCTGGTGAATATGAGGTTGAGGTTGGAACCCAGGATAACTGCTAATAAGCCCGACGTTTTTTAACCACTGTGCTATGCTGCCTCCCCCCGCCCCCCATTGAAATCCCTGCCATAGATAACTACCATTTTTCTACAAAATGTGGGTCTTCAGGGAAATGGTCATTTCCTTTACAGTTGGTTGGTTGGTTGATTGATTGATTGATTGACATATCAAGGCATACATAGCCTCATGTCTCTGGAATTAGGAAGAATTGTATTATAATTGATCATTTTGCATAGCAGTTCATTATAGTACCACAGAGGGATTTGTAACCCCGCAGTCAGAGGCAGGGACCTGTGCTGCCCAGAAGGAGCATGGCCCCTGGAAAGAGGAGAGAGGTAATGGTTTCCAGGAGACTTGCACGTGCATCTGTTGGTGTCCAGGGACATGAACTTCAGGGACGTGAACCTCAGGCATGTGTTCTAGGTCCGGGATGCTGGTCCTTACAGCCTCTGTCTCTTCAGACCATGTCCAGCCAGTCCACGGGGAGCTGGTAAGCAGAGGGGCCCTGAGGTGACTGGCCCGCGTTCTCCGCAGCTGCATGGAACTCCACTGGGGATTCACCAGCCTCAGCACTGAATCACAGCCATAATGTCCAGGAGAAAGGTTAGCAGCCTCCCAGGTTTACCCCCCGTAGCGTGAGACCCACTATGAGTCCCCCTGACTTGACAGAAAACTGCTCAGCACATGAAAGTGACTTCCTGTCACTCAACAACTCAGTGATAAAACCAGGAATTGAACCTGGGTCTCTTGATTGCTGTCGCACACCCCTGGTTTAGGCGAAGATCCAGAAAACAGGCGTTGGGGACTAGTTCATGCCTTAGGGTCTCCAGAGTGCCCATCTGGCCCCTGGTTGACTGGGTTGGTGTGTGTCTGAGCTGGGATGCATACAGGCTGTGCTGTGCTAACCGGGACCTGCAGACAGTGAGACAGGCTTCTGGGTTTAAGACTGTGCTGTGCTAACCGGGACCTGCAGACAGTGAGACATGCTTCTGGGTTTAAGACCTTGGGCATTTGTGGGGAGTAGGCAGCCACCGGTTTTGAAAACAGAGGAAACAAGTAAAATAGCTGACCCAGCTGGAGCCTTTCTCCGCTCTTCCTAAAATCGCTTTCGAAAATGAGTACTGTATGCACTTTTCTTTGGTGTTCTGTAAAGAATGGGGTGAAAAATAGAATTTGCCCATGTACTCATCATCTGTAGTAATTTTCCGTCATTAGTCTTTGTGGCTGTGCCTTGTCTGCCTCTCGTTTTCTGAGATCTTCTTGGCCCCTTAAACTTCCTCCAATTTGCCGGACTGACGGGGAGGGTAATGGTCACCACCCCCACTCCTGCCATCACAAGGTGTCTTCTCGGAGCAGGAGCAGGTAGCAGAGTGGTTAGGGCTGAGGGCTCTGGTGTCCGTGGGCCTGGACTCAGCCCTGCCCTCCCACGCACAGCCATGGGGACGGTTTCTTCCACTGTCCCTGGGGAGAAGGGCCCCGCCTTGTAAGTACCCACAGGATAGAACCTGTACACAGGTGATGCTCCCTTAGATATGATCAATGATTAATTGTTGTTATAAAGTTCTCAAAAATTCATCTTCTTTCATTAAAACAGTAATCCTTTGTGTCCTTGCACCCTCTCTCCCTGTGGAGAGGGTGCTGCGCTGGGAAGAGAGTAGTGTGGTCGGAACTCAGGTTCCCACATTACAAAGTGAGTTGTCTTCTCAGAACTGGGAAGAGAGTGGGGTTGTCGGAACTCAGGTCCCCACATTACAAAAGGATGGTCAGTTTCTGGTGGAGGTGTGCGGCCACTGTCATGAGGTCCCTGGTGGCACAGACGCTCAGCACGTCGGCATGGAGAGCCTGCATCTTGCAAAGCACAGCACAGAGATGCTCAGTACACTTGGGTGACTTGGTACATTTTATTCTGCTTGTCAGGTTGTCTTGACTCTCAGTTGGTAGAATATCGCGCTTTCTCCGTTTGAATTGTGGAGATGGGAAATACAACAAATTATAACCTTAGCAGCCAAAAGAAATCTGTTTAAAGAATCATTCAGTTTGGGAGTAGCCATCTTCCTCTTTCCATGTTGCTGACCTGTGTGATCCAAGGAGTTGAGGGGAGTGGATGATAAAAGGCTGTTGTTTTGGGTTTAGGAAACTTAGTTTTGGGAAATTAAGAGTTTATTCCTCCTGAGTTCAAAGTTACTCCTCATAGGAAAATTCTATAAAACGCAAGTCGTGAGTCAGCTGGGACTGAGAGAAAGTACGCTGGGCTCGAGGCTCAGGGTGTACGGAGGCTCCGGGTGTAAGGAGGCTCAGGGTGTACGGAGGCTCAGGGTGGACGGGAGGCTCCGGGTGCACGGGAGGCTCAGGGTGTACGGAGGCTCCGGGTGTAAGGAGGCTCCGGGTGTACGGAGGCTCCGGGTGCACGGGAGGCTCAGGGTGGACGGGAGGCTCAGGGTGTACAAGAGACTGTGCCAAGACCCGGGGAGCCTGAGATCTGGCAGCGGGAGCCGAGGAGCTCAGCGTGATCCTGTTTGAAATGTTCCTGACGACATTCATCTTTGTGCTTCATCTGTTTCTTTTGCATTTGTGAAATCTGCTTCAGGAAAAAAATCTGCTCTTATAAAACGATGGTCCACAAAAGATCCCTAAAGCAACATTCAATAAATTTCTCATTTTGCGTGAAGCCAAGAGAACAAGCTTTCATGTCGACTCCAAGGAAAGAATTCCCCCCTGCGTTTCTCCTTCCTCAGTAATGTCTTCCCCTGCGGTGTTACTTCGGCCCGCGGCTGTGCCTTTGGAGCGACGGCGTCCCACTTGGTTTGCCTGAGCAGCGACAGTTAGCATTCTCATAGCAGACGGCGTGCAGTTCTGTGCAAATCCTGGAATGTGATTTCCTCAGACACTTTTGGCACATTCTTCCTTGGGCTTACCATGGCAAGAAACATAAAATGGAAAACTTTTTAATTGCTTTCTGATGATATTCATAAAGATGGGATTGCAGAGAATCAGTTTATGGATATGATACCTGGTTAAAGTTACCTCTTTTTTTTTGTTAAAAGAAGCTATCATTAGTAATTAAAAAAAAATTTATTGGGGAACAGCCATGGACATTGTTTACACATTGCTTTCATGCTGCAATGGCATAGTTGACTCTTTTAGGGAGGGCGCAGCTCACAGTGGCCCACACGGGGATCGAACCAGCAACCTTGGTGTTATCAGCACCATGCTCTAACCAACTGAGCTAACCAGTCATCCCCTAAAATTACCTTTCATATCTGTTAGGCAAAGCCATGTTGCACGGAGTAGAAAGCCCAGAACAATAACGGCTTCAGTAAGAGAAGAGTTCCTTTTTTCTGTTTTGTTGCTTTTTCTACATCCAGGAAGCTCCCGGGGGCAGCCCTTAGCTGACAGTGTCCTCAGGCATTCGTACCCATCCTTCTGCTCTGCCATCTTAGACGCACACGTCTTTTAGCAACTTGCCTCGCGGGCATCAGGAGGAAAAGGGCGGAAGGGTGTTTCCCCGGCTCTGTTGCCCTTTGAAGGAGCTTTCCCAAAAGACGGGCCCCACCACCTGCCCTCCTGTCACCGTGGACAGAACACAATCGTGTGTCACTCCCGCTGTGAGGGAGGCCATGGACTGTAGGCCTCACCTGGGCTCATGCCACATCCGGTAGTGCAGGCTGGTCATGAAGGGAGGGGTGGGGGCTCCACCGGGGAACTGCCTGTCTCTGCCCCAGGGGCCCACGTTCCAGTTAATTTAATAGAAAAACATATGATAGAATTAGGGGTGAAAT